CTCTCAAGGAAAACTACTCAGTTTAGTATTGCCCTTTAGAGAGTGGTTTGCACTATACTGCTGCTGTCTTGTCATGCTGTTTTGTTTGTTATGTAATGCTTTTATAAAGAACAGTACTTTGGGGTGTATTTGTTTTATGTAGATCTTTTATTAATGTGTGTAACGTTTTATGCTTTTATTGTTTTAGTGGAGGTGCGGCCGCTTGCTGAGGGGCTAGGCACGTGAGGTGGAATCCCCTTCCCGATGCATGCGAGTGTACACACCGGGCATAGGTAGATTGCACCATTTAGAGTTTAGTGTGAGTGACAGTGAGGTCTTCAGTGAAGTTACACGGGTGAGTAATTGGTGGCACCCTTGGGCACTCCTCCCTGTAGGTTGCCTCCTCAAGTAGCCGGTCTCCACTATTTTGTTTAGTTATTCTTTTATCATGCTGTGATTGTTTTAGGGTAGCATTGTGGTAGGGAGTCTGGTCATTTTAATCATCGTTTGGTAATAAAGTGTTTTAATTAACTATTTTGCCGTCTCAACCCTGCTACCCTAGGTGCCTTCCTGATTTTATAGTTATGTATTTAGTAGTTCCTCTTAATAAATTTTGATTTGTAAACTTCCTTTGTCTCACCTCTACCGTTAATAACGAGTCTGTGGGCTTTGGTAGCCAGTGCAACATGTACATTGGCTAGAGAAATCTTTCCTGGGGTGTAACGCCCTCCCCCAGGTGGCGTTGTCAATATCTTAGTTACCGTCCCCGACTATTCCTCATCGTGACACCACATTATGATCAACACTTCACGCCAACAACACTATTCACATGGTCTTCCAAGATTACCCCTACTCCCCTTTCTCTTTCTCCCTCACATATTTTCTCAATCACCTCTTTGGCCAACACAGTTTCTACTAACACCCTGTTGGCAAACAGCACCAGAGGTGGTTGTTAACCCCAACCAATTTGGTATGGAAATCTTATCCTTTATGAGCTACATGTTTCATTTGGCTAAGATTTCACATCGCATGCCTTTTCTGACGCAATCATCCCCATTTATCTCTGCTGACCACCCAGGTCCCTAATGGTGGGAGAGGCCCTGTCAAGCCTGGAATTAAACATTTTTTCTAGTTTACAACTTTTTAAAATTCCAAGTAATTAAAGGCTAAATTAAATTGCCTGAAGAATTGGTTGGGTGATTTAAGTTTGATTCCAAAAAATACTGGAGGCTCTTTCATATCAGTGGATTAGTCCACCACATACTTGGACTTCGCATCACAGCTAATTTATTCCATCCACTTGACTGCTCATGTGCACTGTGAGTTGTGTCTTTCCCCATTAAAGCTATTTCAGGGTATTAAAATAAAGAAGAGAAGGCAAGGAGACAGAAAGAAAGCAAACTGAGGGAAGTCAGATATTAACAAATGTCTTTCAAAGAGAAAGAAAGTGGTGAACACCACACAAATAACAGGTTAAGATTGAATTAGCTAAGAGGAGTTGTTAATGACAGTGAGTCAATGTAATATGTGACACTGTATCTATTAAAATGTTCTAGCACAACAACAAAAAGGAAGATAATGGAGTAACAGTAGGTCCATCTCCAAATGATATGACCTCATGTTGTGGCAACTAAAAGTTAGATTAAAAGTTTCAATAGAAAGCTTAGCAACACTAACAGCAAGCACCATTAAAGACCAGTGGTTTTTAGCTGGTGTGCAATGACGTCAGCAAGCCATTTTGGTGAACGTAGTGCAGGCAGTGAACCCAGGCTGATAAAATTTATTTTTAGAATATCACAATGGCACTGTTCAAAAATAAATTTAAAATAATTTTTTTTAGTTTGTTGGTAGTTATTTATATGGCAATTCATGTGTTCATTACTGTCAGGCAGCTCACTAACATGAACAGTCAGCGATGTTGAGTCAGTGTACAGTCAGTGATTACTTAATTATTCAGTGCCCACGAGACCATTAGACTACTGTATAACTTTTGTATTTGTATTAACATTAAAAGAACACTTACAGAGAATGGCTATAGCAGACCATGAACCTAGTTTAAAGCAATGCATTTTAATATACTGCTATTAGGTGTACTCAGCCAAGGTACTATTATTATAGTGTTATAGTGTCATAGACACAAATACGTTTTAAGAATTATCAAAACAGAAATCAAGACAATGAAACTATTTACAGTTATTATGGTGTGTATTAGGCTGTCAGCAGTTTAAGAAGCTAACATCAAACCTGTATGTTTCATTCCAGCAGAGGGTCCGTCTATGTTGCAGGTAGTGAGCAAGAAGACAAGAAAGAAGATGACAGAAAAAAAGAGAGGAAAAGGAAGGTTTCCCTGAGCCCGGTGGAAAGGATGACAATAGAGAAAAAAATGGTATTAGAAAACAGCTTTTAAAAAAAAATAAGATTGCATTTTAAGTTTGTTTTCATTTTTTTAATATCATGGAAATAAAACCTAACTAAAATTAGCAAAAATCATACAATCTTGAAATTTATATGCAACGCAACACTCATGTAACTGTGGACACGATGGTGAAATGAAAGTTGAACTGTGAAACTGTTCAGACTTATTGAAAATCATTTGTTTTCAATTAAATGTGGTATATGAAAAGCTGCTGTTTTATTAGTAACATTACTGGCTACCCTAATGACCACTACCGATTGCTACTGACAGTTGTTGAAGGATTCCTGAGAAAGTGCGTGTGTGCTAGAGTTCCCTGTCAGCGGACCTGTATTTATGAATGAAACTAATGCGCTTTAAAAACGGGGAACAGGGAATCTTCCTCTTCCTCACAATCCAGCTTCCTGTGACTACTCTCTCCGTTCTACAGCGGATGGCAGTAGAGGTCTTCCAGCAGTAACGACCCTCCTGGGCGTGGTCTTCCCACCACAGTTTACGACAAACGCCACAGTGTCTCGGCCAAGGAGTACCGTGTAGTGGAAACGTTTGTTGAGTAGTAACAGTCTTTTATTTTTTCATATTATTGTGCCTGAACCGCTTTGCTACGATGCCTTCAGTTGAAAGCTTTACTGTCGCATATGACGCAGTGAATGAATTCGTGACTTTTTCGGAGGGAGACACTATAACAGGGACTGTAACTCTGGCCTTATCCAAGGAAACCTCACTTCAAAGCCTGTTTATCAAGGCGAAAGGGGACGCTAACGTCCGGTGGTCTCTGAAGAGCGCTGGCCATACTTATACGTACTCTGCGCACACAAGATATTTCAAACTAAAGGAATTTTTAATCCCAGAGAGCGCCAGCGGTATGTAACACACTTTACAGTCTTCTTGCAAATGTTTGTTTTTGCAACGTATTGTAAATGTATTTGCAAAAAAACAAAACAAAAACCCGACAACGAAACAACAACAAAGAATTAAAGGTATTCAATTAATCTTTAGTGTTGCAAGTGTAGAAGGAGCTATCAATTTTTGGCAAAGTAATTTTGTTCTCTATTTATCGAGGTAAAAAGTCTCATTGACGTTAAAGATGTATTTTTAACATAGTTAGTTAGTTAGTTTTAACATAGTTAAAAGTTTTAACTGTGTATTTATTGGCATTTATTAGTGTTAGTATTCATTCTATGTTTCATGTGTTCATACAATGAATACATGGATACTGCTGGATTTTGAGAAATTTCCCCTGGGGATGAATGTATTTTTTTTTCCTTTCTCTTCTTTGCAAAAAAATATAACATTTCAAAGACACGTTTCTCAAACAAAATACACGTGAATGGGAAACGAAACATGTTATATTAAATACTTGTATATTTAATTGTTAGTGTTGAAGTTCTAATTTATAATTTGTGTTCTGTGAAGAAAGTTCAAGTGACTCAAAAGAAATGGGTTGATTATACTTTAGAAAAAACAGTAAGTA